CCATCTTCTCCTTTTTGATTCTTTATTCCTGTTAAGGCCAACCTAGGACTTTAAATTTTAATAAGTTACAGAACAAAGTACTTAAAACTTATTGTGCACTTTCTGGAATTACATAGAAAAAGAATCATTCAGAATATGCTTCTAAATTTTGTGTGACTCTTTTAATGCATCAAACTGTATAATTTATTTAAATATATTTTTAGGAGTTCAACCTTTTTAATTTTATTTAATTTATTTTATTTTATTTTATAAGTACTATTAGTCAACATATAGTACATTAGTTTTTGATGTAGTGCTCAAAGATTCATTAGTTGAGTATAACACCCAGTGTGCTTCACATTATGTGCCCTCCTTAATGCCCACCACCTGGTTACCCTACCCCTCCACCCCCTTCCCTTCTGCAAGCCTCACTTTGTTTCTCAGAGTCCAGAGCCTCTCATGTTTTGTCTTCCTCCTGGTTTCTTCCCATTCAGTTTTCCATCCCTTCCCCTATGGTCCTCTGCATTAGTCCTTATAATCCACATATGAGTGAAACCGTATGATAATTGTCTTACTCTGCTGGACTTATTTCACTTTTCCTCAGCTTCATTTCTTTCCATCAGCATGTCCTTTAAATCACTTATTTTCTCTTCTGCCTCATACACCCTAGCTGTGAGAGCATCCAACTTGGATTGCATTAGTTTGGCCTGATTAGATCTCATTTCTGCCCTTAGAGATTCTGTATTGTCAGGTATGCTTTTTTCAAGCCTCGCTATTAACTTTCTAATTGCTATCCTTAATTCCATCTCTGACATCCTGCTTATATCCATATCAATTAACTCTGTGGCAGAGAACATTGCCTCTGGTTCTTTCCTATGCCGGGAATTCCTCTTTCTAGTCATTCTGCCCAGGAAAGGATGGGTGAGCAAATGAAGAAAGTCCAAAATGTCAACCACGACCCAAGAAAATGCACCCTAGAAAAAGCCCAAAGGGGTCAGAAGCCAGAAAAGTGAAACAAAGAAAAGTGAACAAAGTGAAAAGTGAACAAAAATAAAAGTGAACACATCACAGGAAAGTGAACAAAGCCAAAATGAACAAAGGAATAAAAAGGGGGGAGTGAAGAGAGATGATACTCTCACAGGGTGGACAAAGCAGGGTGATCTCCTTGTCCCTGATTGAATTTTGGTCTGTGTGTTTGAAGACACTGTATCTCAAAATTGCAAAGAATACAGAGTGTGTGTGTGTGTGTGTGTGTGTGTGTGTGTGTGTGTATGAATCCTTTGAAAAAAAGACTAGGCATAAAACAGGCATAAATCTATGAAATGTAGATATGAGAGAAAAAGGTTAAAAAGTGACTTAAAAACATAATTTCAGGATGTCTGGGTGGCTCAGTAGGTTAAAGCCTCTGCCTTCAGCTCATGTCATGATCCCAGGATCCTGGGATCAAGCCTCACATTGGGCTCTCTGCTCAGCAGGGAGCCTGCTTCCCCCTCTCTCTCTGCCTGCCTCTCTGCCTACTTGTGATCTCTTTCTGTCAAATGAATAAATAAAGTCTTTTTCAAAAAAACATAATTTGATAAAATAAGAGTCTACTTAAAATAGGAAAAAGGTAAGAAAAAAAAGTGTAAAATTTTAGACTGAAGGATAAACGAGTTGTGAAGAAACACCTGGAGCTCAAGACACTGTCTCCCCTGGTGCTGGAGTTTTAGTCTCCGGGATTCATAAGCTTGTCCTTCACCTGTTCTTCCAGTCTGTCTTCTGGGGGGCGGGGGGTGTGGTGCCTGTTGTGCTTCTTCTCAGGTTTCTTTGCCGGAGCGGAGTGGCTCCACCCCTTGTCCATGGGATGGGCTCAAGGTGAGCTGGTCCTCTGTGTGGCTTTTGTTCCCTGGTGGCTTTCTGCACCTCTTCAGAGGGTCAGAGCAAAAAGGGCCCTAACTGGATCTCTAGGCCAGAGCCACAAGATCACCATCCCCCCTCTTCAATAAACTCTCCGGGTCAAACCTTCTCCACTTCTCTGTGCATGAAGCGCCACAGAAATCCATGGATTTTGTCCACTGCAATCCTCCTTGGGGGATTCCCAAAGCCCCCTGAGCATCTCTGTGCTGTGTGTCTTTGTGACTGCAAGCATTTGTGGACCGTGCCTGCACGAAGCTCAGCTTCTCCCAGGTCATGGCTGGGTGCTGCCCTACTGTCCTTTTTGGGGCACTGCTGCCCTGAGAGCTGTTGCCTGGTCATGAGTGCCACTGTTTCAACCCTCCCAGGTGCTGGTAACCAGCCAGCACATTCTAGTCTTTTTCCAGGTGCTCAGGCACAGAGCAGTGTCCCTACCAGCCCGGCTCCCAGTTTATGGCAACCCGAGCTGAGAGTCCCTCCTGGGCTCCCTGACTATAACCAGTTTCCCTGCTCCACTCCTTGGGAACTCCATCACCTCAGGCACCCAGTTTTTTCTTTGTCTCCTAGGATCCTGAGACCATAGTGACTCCCCTAGAATTCTGCCATTTCTATCCTCTGAGCCCCTTCCAGAAAGGAATGTCTCTCACCGGAGCAGATATCAAAAAGTCCTATTTTGCACTCTAGTGTTAATCACTCTTCAGTAGCCAGCTTCTGGAGGCTCCCTCCCCCTTCCATTTATCTTCCGATATTTCCCCACAGATTCACAACTCTGCACCTCCTGCCTTGCATAATGCAGTCGTTTTTCTGCTTGTAGATTTCCATATATATTTTCTTACACCTCGGGCTAAACTCATGGGTGTGCAGAATGGTTTGATAGCTATCCAGCTAAATTCGAGGCACCAGATGAAACAGGGTCCCCTACTTTTCCACCATTTTGCCACAACCTCAACGATGACATCTTCTAAAGGAAGTTATCCCGACATGTGTTGATATCGTTTCAGCTGGCTTGGCCTCTCTGATGCTCTTTCTGGAGCCCTTGGGGAGTTCTCCTTCTCAGGTTCTGGTGGAGGAACAGGCAGGAAGCTGGATGGGGTACCCAGTCCCACTGCTCAGGGGTGGCTTCTGGCAGGGCTGGCTCAGGATAGGTCATAGGCAAATCACAGTTTAGATGTCAGTTTGGAAGATTTTCCACTTTTTCCACCCCATATTGGGTTTGAAGTAAATCTTTATGTTGTAAAAAGCATATGGTGAGCCAGAGGAAGTGAGTTTAGAAAGCCCTACAAACCTGGCTCCCTCCAGGTCATGGACAAGGGTAGGACCACAGCAGTTCCCAGACCCCTGCTGTCAGAAAATTTTCTGGATCCGCTAAGTGTGGGTATGACCATGGGCAAGTTTCCCATCTGGTTCTTGGGTTCCCAGTAAGTGATGGGCCATATCTCCAAATGTTATGCAAATTCCACAGAAATACATGAACAAGTATGGTCATAGCATTTTTATTCATAATCACCCAAACCTGAAAACACCCCAGGTTTCTATCAATAGAATGTTTATAGTCTCTGTGGTGATTAGTCAATTGAATAATGAATTGAATGAACTGAGTACATAAAACATCTCACACTGCTTGAAAGAAACCATAACCAACAGAGTACATACTATATAATTTAATCGATATGAAGTTCAAGGACAGGCAAAATTTTTCCATGTGGGAAAAATCAAAACAGTGGTAGTGTTTATCAATGTATATGTGAGTTGACTTGGGAAGGCCATAATGGAACGTTGTAAAGGTTAATATTTTACAACTTGACAGGCCTTTGGGTTACATAAGCACAAATATTGGTTAAAACTCATCACTTTATATATAAAATTTATATGAAATTAAAATTTTAAGTAAAATGAATTAGTTTTGATATTATTGAACTCCAATAATAAACTGAATTATTTGAGGAAAATTTACTGTTGGCTATAACTTTTTTGAAATGGATGAAAATAGTAGATGGATTAGTGGAGAGGTCATGGAGAGATGAACTGATACATACAAGGCAAGTACACCCAAATGTTAGTAGCAGAATATGAGAGTTAAATGTAAAATTCATTGCTATTTTCATTGGTTTTGAACATTTTCCTAATTAAGTACGGGATGAATAAACTTTATAAGGACCTTCCCACTTTAATGCTTTTGTGGTCCCCATTCAAAGGGAAGTAAAGGTTCAGGGTAGCTGGAATGTTCAGAAGAGAACGCTGTTGACAAAATGAACCAAACAACGAGGAATCATTCTCCAGGGTTCCAGATGCCTTTAGGGACTACCAGAAAACCTCTTGCCCTTAGTGTCCCTGCCCTATCAGCTTCCTGGACCAGGGAAGGTATTCCTTACACAGATCAGAGGGCAGCCGCTAAGAGCAGGAACATACATAGGATACTGTGAAGGACTCAGTGAACCGTTGTCCATAGCTTCCACAATTGTTCACCCAGCCTCTGCCCAATGCACCTTGTTCCCATTTAGGATTGCAAACATTCTGCATCTTTTTCGACACTATAAAATTTTTGAGAAATGGTTTTTCAAGGTTTTGTCTTTGAATTCTGCTGCTCTGGGGCACGTCGCTCTCACACTGCACTCTAGTCCCCTGGTCAGCGAGAGATCCCAAGGCTCTCTGGGATTCCCTATAATATGTTTTATGGTCACTGGCCTCATGATACTGCTCCGGATGCTTTCCTATTCTCACTTCCTCCTGAGCACCTGTTTTGGAGCATCCCCTTCCCAAATCCAGAAGGTTCAGCTTGGTGTTTCACTCCTTTGCCTGCCTTAGCATGGAGAAGGAAGATGCGGTTGGAAGGGCAGGACATGAGCCTGTGCCTGAGACCCAGAAGAGGAGGAGACCAGGTTGGGGCGGCCTCGTCAGTAGGGTTGGCATGAGGGCATCCAGAAGGAGGGCAACAGAAGAGCCAGAGCATGGGAGCCAGGGAGGCTCAGTCCAGCCTCATGCCCTGGAACGGGTGTTCATGCCTGCCCCTCCAGCCAGTCTCAGGCCTAGGCTCTGCTATTTCACAATGGAGCGATCGTGTTGCACAACACTCACTCATGTGACTTCACTGGGCATTCTTTCTCCTTTGGCCCTGGCCTTCAGGCGGCTGAGAGCCAGCCCATCCAGAGCCTTCCCTCCTCTAGCCCATTGTCCCATCTGCAGATGTCCGCAGTTGGCTGGTGAATTTATTTAGGCTCCAATGACTGTTCCAACACACCCATGCCAGCTGGAAGAGATGTCCTAAATCCTTGTTGGAGCCCAGGGTTTGGAGGGCAGCAGGAGTGGCAGAAGCCTGGCAGGGGCTGATGAACCTGATGGTGATCATGCCTGTCTCCAAGGTGTGCCTCAGACCTGCCCCCTCTGGCACCCAGCCCAAAACACCATGACTTTCCAAGAGGAAGGTAAATAAACCATTTATTTTCCTATTCTCTTTAATTTCCGTAAGTGTAGTAAATATTTCTCATGGTTTATCCTTTGACAGTCTCCATTTTCAGTGAGCTTTTCATCTGATACTTTTCTATTCTGTAGCCTTTATTTTAGCAGCAGATAATTATATTTTATTTGGTCAAATTTAAGCTGATGTTCATTAATAAAAATGCAGTTCATGATCCTATTACATATTATTTATTTCCCACAGAATTTTCAGCTGAGTCTTATATCAAGAAGAAAAAGAAAAAGATTATTGAGGCCCAACACTTCCTTAAATAATCCCCTTTAATGCCTATCACCAATCATTTTGGAGATGAATTGACCTGACACTGTATGTCAGTGTTCTCCTTTTATGTCCTATACAACTGAACATTGTCTCTAGGGATTGAACTGTTTACTTGACTTATGTTTCTAGTTGTTTATTCTTTGTGTATATAAATGCAACTGGTTTTTGTGTGTCAACTTTGTATCTTGCAATTTGAAAGTATTTGTTAGCTCTAGCAGTGTGGATGTATCCTTTAGAGTTTTCTATATATATGGTTAAGTAATTTGTGCAGAAAGATAACTTTATTTATTCCTTTCCAATTTGGATGCCTTTTCTTGATTAATTGCTCAGGCTAGATGTTCCACTACTATGTGAAACATTAACACCTTTGCTTTCAGTCTCTCAACACTGAGTCTGAAGTTAGTTGTAGATTTACCTATATGGTTATTATGCTGAGGAAGTTTCCTTTCATTAGTGATTTTTTGAAGGGCTTTGTTAAGAAAGGTATTGAATCTTATAGATGCTTTTTCTGCATCAATTGAGGTCTTCGTTCATTTCTTTTAAAGATTTTATTTGTTTATTTGACAGAGAGAGATCACAAGTAGTCAGAGAGGCAGGCAGAGAGAGAGAGGGAAGCAGGCCCCCGCTGAGCAGAAAGACCGATGCGGGGCTCGATCCCAGGACCCTGAGATCACGACCTGACCGAAAGCAGAGGCCCAACCCACTGAGCCACACAGGCGCTCCCTTCATTTACTTTTATTTTATTAATGTTCTGTATTACATTAATTGTTTTGTCTACATTGAACAACGCTTACATTCCAGTAATAGAATCCTTCCTGGTCAATAATGCTGTTGATTAATTGTGCAAGTACTTTGTTGAAGATTTTTCTTTCAATATTTATGAAGCATATTGGGGTACACCTTCTTTTATTTTCTTATAGAATCTTTGTTAGGCTTTGGTATCAGGGTACTGCTGGCCTCATACAATGGGTTAAGAATATGACAGAGAGTGTTCTCATGCCAGCAAGACTGATTGTTCTCAAAGAATTGTGGTTGTGTGTTCTAACCTCTTTGAGGACTCCAAGAGGGGCAGGCTCAGGGGCTTTCCTTTGTTTCAACTGCCTCAGAACTTTTTAGGAGTTCAGAACTTTTTAGGTACTCTCAAGAGCATTTCAATGAAGTATCCTAGCAGCACCTGTCTGGGCAAAGATCAACCTGAGACAGGCAGACTGAAAAACCTAGGAGTGAGTGGAGATGCTGGGACATAACTGAGGGACAAAGGGCACTGAAAATCTGCTGTGCGCTGGGCAGCCTCAAGGCCACACGGATGCCCACGGCTGGACGGGTGCTTAGAAAACACCTGAGAGAATCAGGTGAGTTCACCTTCAGCACTGGAGCAACTCCAAGTGAAGGGAAAGTAGGAGTTAATTTCCTGGTAAGCCTTGGAGCAGAGTGCCAGCAGGGGCAGTCTGCAGTGAAGGGCAGAGCCCCTCCTCCTGGTCCAGGTCCAGGCATTGTAGCAGCTCTCTCTCAAATCACAAGGGGACCACTGAGCTAAAAGAAGTGAGACTTTAAGGGGCACTCATGACAAAGGCCCTTAACAAAAAGCTGAGAAAATCACTAAACAAACAACACAATCCATACAAGTTGTAAACAAACAAGCAAAACCCTGGAAAAGCAGAAGACTGTCATTTGCAAAATTAACACATTGTGATACTCAAAATATCCAATATTCAACAACAAAAACATGAATTATGCAAAGAAATAAAATACCGTTCATTCGGGTGGGGTGAGGGTGGGTAAGGAAACTGAAGACACTGTCCTAAGGAAGTGGCTTTAAAAGAACTATTTCAATGATTCTTGAAAGTTGAAACTAGGAGGGGAGGCTGGATGGTTCAGTTGATTAGGTGTTCGAATCTTGATTTCAGCTCAGGTCATGATCTCAGGGTTGTGAGATTGAGCCCCACATCAGGGTGAGTGCGGACATGGAGTCTGATTAAGATTCTCTCCCTCTCACTCTGTTCCTCCCCCTTTTGGAAAAAAATGAAAGCAGGAAGGATGCACTTTTACCAAATCAAGTTTCAATACATAGAAATTATAAAATGAAGTTAAATAAAAATTCTGGTGTACAGTAGCTGAAACACACACACACATAGATATGTGTGTGTGTGTGTGTGTGTGTGTGTGTGTGTGTGTGTGTAGAGAAAGAGAGCATTCTAGTATTGGATTTGAGCAAGAGAAAAACTAATCTGTGAACACGAAGACAAATCATTTGAAATGATCAGTTATTGTTTATGGATGAGCCAAAGATGGTCTCTGCATATTGGACCTATGATTATTTTTTCACAGAAGACAGAGCCCTTTAGCTCAAAAATCGACTGTTGCCAAACTCAAATTTTGAGTGGATTTGAAACACTGGATAGTTTTACACATAGCCCAAATTGGTAGATTTTATAGCTTAGCCATATCTTCTGTGCAAACCCTGTGAATCACCACCTAACATCTACTAGCAGTAAATAAGATAAACCATGAATACTGGTGTCTCCAAGCCCCTGCCATCCATTCACAATTCTCTGGCTCAGAGACTCCATATCTTGCTGTTGAGAGACATCATCTCCACAAGTAAACCCCTATTTCTCCAACCCCTCTCTTCTGGGGAGTTTCTTTGCCATCCTAACTTTCTGGGTGGTGGACTTGTACTATTACCACTGAAAGATATCATCCTGTGAGGGACTACTCCATTCAGTCAAGCTGTCAGTGTGACAGTCAAATAAATCTTGTTGTATGATCATAAAATTGTATGTGATCAGCCCTATACCGAAGTCCCTTGATCACAGTACAAATGCCCAACACACATCCATAGGTCAGTGGAGATAAATCTCACTGAGACAAGAGCTCCTCTCAGAAGGCAGTGTGTGCATCAATCTCAGGGGTTCCAGCACTAGCACAAGTCCCACCCACAGGAGTCACCAGGACCCACACCTTCCCTCCCGGTGACACTTGAGAGCAGAGTGTATGATTCCTGGCTAAGCCACCAGCTGGGTCTCTAACAAGATGGTTGCCTAGAATTACAGTTCAGTACAACTAGAGCTTGAGGGTAGAACACATATCTCCTTAGGCAGACAATAGAATTGGTTGCCATCATCCTCACACATGACTTGACAACATGTTTCTACCCTAACTCTACCATAGAATCACTGGTGGAGATTTTTTTTAAAAGGCGTGCCAGTTTCAACTAGGGATGTCCTCATTTACCTGATCTCATGCCCATGGTTTTGGGATTGTGCTAGTTTGGTGAGAACACAGGTCAGCCCAGTAGATCTCCTTGGAGTATTTCCCCCTGATGTTTAGGTTCAATAATGCTGTTGGTTAAGGGATAACATTTCTAAGACTTGGGACCAAAGCAAGGAAATCCCCTCTGTGAGAATGTTTATTTTGCTCAGGGAGAAAGTACTCTGCACTAATTATTCGAAAAAAAAAAAAGGAAGAAAGAAAGAAAACCAGCTTACGTGGTGTTGCTAATAGGTATAGGGATTTTATCCTGCTGGAGCTCTATTTTCTGGTCTGTTTGGTGGGGTGACAAACAGCTATGGTGCTTTCTAAGGTGACTGAAGGATACCTAAGTCAGGAATTGCCTTAATAAAATAAAGATTGTGGTCACATAATTAACTCTTGCTCCTATTTAGCTCAATTCAGGTATTTGGGGACAAAATCCAAGGAGCTTTCTGGGGGTCGGGAGGGCAGAGCTGCCTCCCTCTCTAGCACCACATTGCTTCCTGTAGCAGAGACATAAGCGAAAGGGCGACCAAAAATTTTAGAATAGATATTTGTGATAGTGCCTCTGTGACCTTGCCTCACCAGGGTCATGACCTCTGAGAAACCTGGAAAATGGGGCTGAAGATCACAGTTGTGCCACCACCACAGGATGAAGGGAGACAGACAGTATTGGTGGGAAGTTGGAATGAGTGGAGCTGAGCTGTGTGGCAGGGACTTGGAGAAACGGGGACTCACATAGTCTTGCTGAGTTTCTAACCCACATGCTAAGTAGTACAGAATTGAATCTACATAGAGAAAACTAGAACACCAACATTTAGCTTCTTTAGCAACAGGTTTTATTGTTCAAATATTTGCAAGTGTTGAAATATAGTAAAAGTTTAACTTCTTAAAAAATTTTATATTTAATATTGCCAGATCATTTCATACTCCTATATTTTATGCCACATTTTTTAATCATTTTTTTAATTTATTTTCAGCATAACAGTATTCATTGTTTTTGTACCACACCCAGTGCTCCATGCAATCCGTGCCCTCTCTAATACCCACCACCTGGTTCCCCCAACCTCCCACCCCCCACTTCTTCAAACCCTTCAGATTGTTTTTCAGAGTGCACAGTCTCTCATTGTTCACCTCCCCTTCCAATTTCCCCCAACTCCCTTCTCCTAACTCCCCATGTCCTCCATGCAATTTGTTATGCTCCACAAATAAGTGAAACCATATGATAATTGACTCTCTCTGCTTGACTTATTTCACTCAGCATAATCTCTTCCAGTCCCGTCCATGTTGCTACAAAAGTTGGGTATTCATCCTTTCTGATGGAGGCATAATACTCCGTAGTGTATATGGTCCACATCTTCCTTATCCATCCGTCCGTTGAAGGGCATCTTGGTTCTTTCCACAGTTTGGCGACTGTGGCCATTGCTGCTATAAACATTGGGGTACAGATGGCCCTTCTTTCCACTACATCTGTATCTTTGGGGTAAATACCCAGTAGTGCAATTATATGCCACATTTTTCACAAAGAACAAAGAGTTATCCTCCGCACAAGTGCTATAGTGTCTTTAAGTTGAGAGCTGCTGCTGAAAACATCTATATTATTATATTTTTGATGAGAGTTCTGCCGCGTCATCTGAGATCAGATCATGACTGAAAGCTTTGCCACATAGACGGCATACATATGGATTCACTTCCATATGTAAATGCATATCTTGCCTGAGGAGTATGAGGACGGAAGTGTCTCCCATGCTGATTACTGGCTGTTTCTTCAACATGTGCATCCTTTGGTGACTTTGAATGTTAAAGCTCTTACTGATATTTCTTCCACATTCATTGCATCTGTAATACCATGTCATCTCAGGTCAGAATACTTATGAAGGCACTCTTCATTTCCTCTCCAATGTTAGGTTCCCTCATATCATCTAAGGGAAGAATATTGACTGAAGAATTTCCCACATAGCCAACATTCACATGGTTGCTCTCTGGAGTGTGTTCTCTCATGTCATCTAAGATCGAAATATTGACTGAAGACTTTCCCACACTGGTGACATACATGTGGTTTCTCTCCTGTGTGTTTTTGTTATGTCGTCTAAGTTCAGCACATCGACTAACAGCTTTCTCACATAAGAGACATACATGTGGTTTCTCTCTAGTGTTGGTTCACTTATGTTGGCTAAGATCGGAGCTCTGACTAAAAGTTTTCTTACATTGATGACATTCATAGCATTTCTCTCCAGAATGAATTCTCTCATATTTTCTAAGGTAGAAACTGTGAATGAAAGTCTTCTTATATAGATGGCATTCATATAGTTTCTTTCTTATGTGACTTTTCTCATATTGTCTAAGGTAAGAATTCTGACTGAAGACTTTCCCACACAGATGGTATTTATATGATTTCTCTCTATTGTGTGCTTGATTTTGGTTCCTAAGGGCAGAGCTATGCAGAAAGCCATTCCCACACAGATGGCATTCAAATGTCTTTCCAATGTGAGTCATCTTATGTCATCCAAGTCTAAAGGAATTACTAAAGCCTTTTCCACATAGATGACATTTATGTAATTTACCCCTTTTGTGAATTTTGTTATGCTAAATAAGGGATGATTGTTCACTAAGTGATTTTCTACTGTTTGCTGAAATAATGTTTCTTCCTGAGGTGAATTAACAAATGTTGAGTCAATGCAGATCTATGAGTAAACTCATTACTCAAGTCAGTGCTTTCAATAGGATCTTCTGGAATGTGAGATTTATGCTTTGGGGAAGAAGATGAAAGGTTGTTAATGGTTTGCCCACATACATCCATACATTTATTTCTGTACATATAAATTCTAAAGTAGAAGTTAGTAATATTCTGCAGTTGCATACACATGTTGTTAATCCTGCAGGCGTCAATATTTTCTCTTTTGTAGTATTCCAATCTCAGAGTTATCAGATTAATTTTGAAAACTTTAGTATGTTTCAAAGACTAGGTGATAAGCCATGTTTATGAGACTGATTCTCCCCCACCCCCTGCTCGCTCTCTCTCTCTCTTTTTTTTTTAGGTCTCAGGTTATTGATTTGAGCTCATGTTAATTTCTTCACTGATTTAAAACTATCCAAAACTTTTGGCCTACAAAGAACTTAATCTTAATTTAATTGCATTCAGGCAATTATGCTCAACTATCAACATATCTCATTGCATTTAGATCATTAGTTTGGATGACTAGGGTTGATACCCATGAAACTTAACCACTGGCACAGTCAGAGCTATACCCTTCTTTCTGATATGTTGTGTTAATGTCATTTCTTAATTTTATGGGGACTTACCATGGCTAAAATAATTGAAAAAATATAAATTGTTAGAATGGCATTAGGGAAGGAAAAACCATGAGAGACTCTTAACTATAGGAAACAAATTGAGGGGTACTGGAGGAGAGGTGGGTGGGGTTTGGGTTAGGATTATGGGTGATGGGAATTAAAGAGAACATGTGATGTGCTGAACATTGGGTGTTACATGCAACTGATGAATTTTGAACACTACATCTAAAACTAATGATGTATATATGTTGGCTAATTGAATTTAAATTAAAAAAAAAAAGAATGAACTCCAGGAGTAGACTAGGTATAATTACACAGTCAACAAGGCATCATCTGAGTGAGATCTGTTGACTTTTAGAATATTCACATGAATATGCTAGCTTTTTCCTTTGTGCAAAAGATGATATATACTTTATGGATGGAACTGGAATGGATTATACTGAGTGAAATAAGTCAAGCAGAGAAGAACAATTGTCATATGGTTTCACTCATATGTGGAAACTAAAGAACAGTGTGGAGGACTGCAGGGGAAGGGAAGGAATAGTGAACAGGAAGAAATCAGAGGGGGAGACAAACCATGAGAGACTCTGCACTCCGGGGAACAAACTGAAGGTTACAGAAGGGAGGGGAATGGGGGGATGGAGTAACTGGAGGATGGGTATTAAGGAAGACACATGTGATAATGAGTACTGGGTGTTATGCACAACTAATGAATCATTGAACACTACATCAAAAATTAATGATGGTGCTATATGCTTCTAACTGGGCATTAAAAAAATATTATATATATATACTTGATTTGTTGAAATCAATACATATGTTTTTATTTAATTTCTAATTACTAATTCAATATGATGCATAACAAACATAGCTACTTAGATTTTAGCTGCCAGAAGAGAAGGTGAATAACATTTTAATATGTAATGGCTCAGGCATTATAATGATTTACATTCATTATCTTATCTGACTCTTTCAAAAAACCTTGCAAGATAAATTTCATCCCCACTTTACAGTGAAAATCTGAGATTTGGAAAACTCAGGTTACTTATTCAACAAGATAGATATATATTTGGAAGCACTAAGATTGTTTCCTAGTCAGCATGGCTTGAAACTAAATGTGATATCATTTAGCCTTCTTAAGACATATTTTTAAAATTATTATTTGTGTTGCCTAAAGTCATATTCCAAAGTATCATTATACTAGTCAGTTAAAATTCAAAGGGCATTAAGACAGCCAATAAAATATTTATGCAAATGCATTGTTTTAAATCATAATTATGGGTAACTTATGATGCTACCCATGGCTCCATGAAAAGGCAAATAATCTGTTCAATTTCTTTTGGTACAAAAATAATTTTTTAAATGGTGCCTTTTATTTTAAAGTATCATCTTTTCTTGTATGTAAAATGGGAAGTCCTACTTTTCAAGCTCAAGAAGATTGAGGTGAGGTTAAGTGAGCAAGGCCACCAGCAGAGGGAAAGAGCCTTATTAGATTTTCCAGAGCCTCTGTAAGAATTGTTAAATATGCCCAAGGTAACTAAAGCATTCAAATAAAAATAAAATTGATGAGGGTTAGTAAATCTTCAAAACATAACTGTTAATTGCTCATTTTCAACTAATAATTCAAGCTAACTAAAAACTGAATTTCAAAATCAGCTTACAAGTTGAGTTAGGATATAATGTATATTACATTATAACATTTATTATAAGTAAATAAAATTTGGAAAACTTAAAAAAAAATAATGGCACTAGGGGAATGAAAGCGTAGAAGAGGACTTAGGTCCATGTGAGTATGTCTCAGAAATTGGTGCTTAGCTGGGAAAGTGTGTCAAATGAGCAAATACTCCAGATAGTAGAAACATTTTAAAGTTCTTTGTCAATTAGAAAAAAAATTCAGGTTGAAATATGAAAGATGCAAAATGGTGGAAAGATGTTGGGTCAGAAAATAGTTGGAAAACTTTAAATGGGAGGATCAGGATAAGAATCACTATGTCAACATTTAACTGTGGTTAAGTACACAAATACCCTTTTCCCTAAAGGTAGAGAAAGTAGCAGGAGGACCCATGAGTTGTGATTGATTTACGCAAGGTATGATAACAATACGAGGAATTTTGCCCCAGTGTCCTCACTTACATTTTAGAAAATATCACTAACCTGACAAAATCTTCAGTTGCTATTTCTAAGGACATACTCACTCAGCCTAGGCACCTCCTTGTACTAAAGCCCTGGTTTTGGCTGCTTACCTGAACTCTGGCCTTGGAGAAATCCAGTTCCTTCTCTCCACAGCTCTTTCCCTTGCTGCAACTGAAAGGATCTTTTGCAAATTTTATTACCTGTTTGTGGAGGAAAGAGTGTAAGGACTTAGAGTTCTCTGCAAATTAACCTTTGCTATCACCAAGTCCAGGGTGGGCTTTGCCAAGGATGAATAAATAGATGGTTTGAAGGTCAGCCCATGTAAGAGCATCATCAACAGAGAACACATTGATGGTCCTTCAGCAGACCAGGAGGAAATGCAGCCTGGAGGCCAAAACAGAGAAGACTGCTAGATTGCTGATGCCCTTTCACAAGTTCAGACAAAGAACACAGAATAGGAAAGACTAAATGTCTCCACAGTGAGTTAAAAGTTATTTTCAAACAACATCCAATAAACATAAGAACCACAAGAATAACAAAAATTATGTTATTTTCACAACTCTGGTCTCAAGCCTCCACATAGTGAAGAAAATAGAAACACTATTTCTAAGATATTTAATCAATTTATTTATTAATTAAAATAACCATTGAGTTTCCAGTTCTGTTCTGAATGCTAGAGACTGAGTAGCAAGAAAGGTATGAAATTGTGGTCAAGTTTATGTTCTAGTGTGGTGACAAAAAGTATAATGTGAAGAAACCTCTTCCTCTTGAGTAGGTACAAGGGTTGTAAAAGAATCAGGACGGCGATTAGAGTGGGATATGGGGGAGCTGTTCTACACATCCAGTGAGTGAATGAATGGACACAAACATGCATGTTGGCAGACTCACTCAGAAAGACCAGATGACTGATGGTCTCAAGCATCACATCTCTGAACACCTTTCACTGGAGTGTGCCCAACAGGGCCCACTCTTCCTTGGTGAAGTCTATAGCTACATTTTCAAACATCACTGATTCCTGAAACATCATGGATATCCTGGTTTAGACAGAGCATCCAGATGTAGGAGCATCAAGATGACAGCACTGAGGAGGGGGGCAGAGGGGAGATAGGTTGTAGAAAGATCAATATGTATTTGGAGACTCCTGTCAGTACATTGCCAGTGCTGAATGGGTATCTGCCTTTGGATACATCTACAGAGATGTACACACTCTGACTTCATGACATTATTATAAAGCAATATTACATGAAGTATGGCATAATACAACCTAGATGTGCTTCAGTAACCTGGTGATTAAAACTTTCCAGATAAGTGATTATAAATTTTTTTTTGAAAATTCATAACTAAAACTCTCTTCCCCATTAGTTCCAAGAAATTCTATAGATTCATGATGAGACAAATAATAACCATGATGTAGTGCTTTTAAATCATAATCATTGGTTTAAATTATTCCTTAGATGAACTTCTGGTTCCTCATCTATGAACTAGTTTAATAATATGTGATGAAGGTCAAAAGATCCAAGGCCTTGATGTAGGGAGTGTTTCCTGTCTAGCAAAGACATCTTAAATACAAGACATTATCATTAAAATGTGAGAGAACCTTGAATTGCCAGCATTGCTCAGAACTGAACAAGATTCATAGACATCTCTCTTAATGCTATAGGACTCAGGTGTTCATAACAAACTATAAGGTCAGATGGCTCAGCAGCACAACCCAGGGACCTCTGAGGTTGCTGTACTAAAGGACAGTCCTAGCCTGACCATTCCTATGTTATGAGGACTCCTATTCTCAATATTCTCCAGGACCTCAGACACCGGTCATCACTTTCTCTTATATCATTTTGTCTCCATGCGAAAGGATAAAGGCAATCTCAAGACTGGTTTGAATCTGTCTAGTTTTCCTAAAAATTTACATGGGAACCTAATTTTATTCTTCTTGCCATACTCTTTTTCCTTTATGTATAGTGCAATTAAGCAAATACTACTCCCTATGCATTACTTCCAGTTATTGAGTATGAACTAAAGGTTTATTACTAAGAGGTAATATATGTGATTAGAGACAAGCATGATAGTGATAATTTCAGTAATATTTTTTAGAAATTTTCAGAAGTGAAAATTCTAATAAATGTTTGGGGTTTAAAATTGAGAAAAACATAAAATGATTCTTCCTTCCTTCTAAACTTTTCTCCTGTTCATCTCAACACTGAGCAATGCTCACACCAGGTCTTGTAACACTAGATTAATTATGCTTACGTGCTGAAACATCTACCCTACTGGACTACAATATTCCCCTCACTCATCTCTAGCACTTGCAGTCACCACCATCCTAAACCCACTGCATCCAAAGACATGGTTAATGAGTAAAATTTTTTTAGAAGGCCATGCACTGGATGAGGGAAAGAAAACTTCTCTTATGTCTTCTGTAAATACACAAGGGTGTAAAGAGGCTGAAGAGAGAAGAATGGAGATTTGGGATGCCAGATCTAGGACTTTGGCTTGGGTTTCTTTGGGAGAGGGGATCCCACGCGGTTCATAGAGCTCAGGGAGTATGACAAAGTTGACAGCGATCCCCTGGAATCAGATTCCTGCTCTAGTTCACCCCCAGCGCTGGTTGAACAGCCTAGGTTGAGAGAATAGGTCAGGGATGGACGAGGGTATTGTGTGTGTCTAGGGGGAACATGGTTTCTTTTTTATTGATGAACATGACAAAACACCCCCGTAGATGTGCATGTACTCACTGCTGCAGGGGAGGCTTGTTTCTTGACCTTTCTGCTGACAGCGTGAAGAAATCTATGTGTATCCTAACCTGTGTACATACACGTGCATAGTGTCTACCCATCTGCTCATCAGTAGACACAGAGATGCATTTCAGGAAGGAATAGTGCCCATATTAAGGGAAACATAGCTTAATAGTTCATACCAGTACTGCCATCTATGATCCATCACACGTGGGCATCCTAGCCATCTCCTCACTGGGCTCTTGCCTCCCACTCCACAAGTGAGGGCATCTGTCAGGGTCCTGCGCTGCACCCTAGCCGCCGGCAGGGGGCGCGCCGACCCGTCTTTTCCGACGCTACGCCTTAGGCCCGCGTGGAACGCATGCGCGTCTCGCCCCTTGCTCTTGACGCCGCGTGTGCACGCGAGCCGGAGCGACGTTCCTTCGTGACAGACGGAGGCGGCGACGGTGCGGACGACGAGGGCCCGCGTCTTCGGTGAGTGACAGCCCTGTGCGGCCCGGATTGCTGGGAGGGGCCTTTCCTCGTCAGCTGCAGGACGGTTTCTCATAAACGGTGAGGAAGGAACTCGTTCTCCGCCCTGGCCCGCGTGCCTGACCATTTCCCGTGTGGTGTTTTAGCAGGACTTGCTTTACCCGCGTGCCCGCTCCCGGAGGGGCTTCGGGGCGGCAGTGCGGCCTGCGGTGGTCATTTTCACGGGTTGGGGAGTGTTTTTTGTTTGGGGGGGGACTCCATTGCAGCCTCGGTGTGAGAGAACCGCGTGGGCGGTGAGGCAGGGACGGACTGAAATGTCGGGGTGCTGAGGCGAAGCCGGGGCGCGGGAAGGGCCCGGGAAGACACATCCGGCTGCGGGCGGAAGGAGCCGTGCGCGCCCCCTGCGGCGCCCGCTGGTCTTCATGGCGGTGGTGGTTTGTTCCAGAAAGGGAAAGCGGCCCAGGACGGGCCAAGGAGTAGGAAGATTGGTGCATTACAGCTCACGGCCGTATTTCGTCTACATCCAAATCAGAATGTCTTAAATTTCACTTCCCGGGCTTTTAAGGCAGTGGTCGTGTCTCTGTCTGTTAAAATGATGCCCCTCAGCGCGTCTGCTCTTCAGACCAAAGTATTAGCAGAATAAAGTTCGTCTCGTGACGCGGTGACAGCCGTGCGTGATTGTAAAGGTCAGGTCCCTGAGAGGAGGACTTGTGTAGGACCGCCCGGCGACAGGGGTTCTCCAATCTAGAACAGTTCTGAATTTCTAGAATGTTTGTGAACAGACCGGGAAGGAGAGTACAGATTGCAGAAGGAACGGTTGTGCTCGAAATGAAGACCCATTTCTTCAGAATCATTTATTCTACTTTATTGCAGAAATACCTGAGACGTTTAAATTTTAAATTTTACTTTTTAAAAAATCAGTTAAAACATATTCTTATACTCAAATCACTTCTTAATTGTGCCTCAATTATCTTGAGAGGTCCTAATTTTTTAAATAATTTTTTGAAAATATTTATTATTTTTAAGATTTTTATTTGAGGTGGGGAGCGGAAGGAGAGGGACAAGCAGACCCCATGCTGAGCGCAGAGCCGGATCTCATGACCCCAACATTACGAGCTGGGCGGAAACCAGGAGTCCTACACTTAACCAACTGAGCCACCAGGAGCCCAAGAGGCCCTAATATTTTTAAATTGCTTGATTTATAGCCCTTAGGACATACCTGAATGTCCTTGGACAGACGCAAGATGGTTTGGCTTTCTCTTCTTTTGTATTAAAACACGCACACCACGGAACCCTCAGTGTGTTCTGCTTCTTGACGTGGGCCCCACTTTTCAGTTGAGAAACTGGGGCTTCATGACCTGGGGGAGTCACCTGGTGGGTAGCAGAGGTGGGCTCTGAGCTGGCCAGGTGAGAGCAAACCCGGGAGAGCATGGTGGGGAGGGGAGGGCACTCCTGCGATTTGGACACCGAGAGTGTCTCAGAGGGCAGCCAGGGAGGATGTGGGTAGAGAGGATCAGTCATAGAAATCGCAGGAGGGGTGCAGTCAGAACCCCACCCCAGCCATGGGGACCCTTGTCACACCCTCCGGGGCCTCAGGCCAGGCAGCTTCCATGTAAACCCTTAGCCTCCGGCTTCTCCACACCTGGCTCCCACGCAGACCTGTGATATACATAGGTATGAAAAGAAACATTTCTTCTTTCATGCCCAGCCCCATTTTAATTTGGGACATGTCACCAGTGTATTTCTATCTCAGTTTTTATTTTTTTTTTATTTTTTTTTTTTTTATTTATTTATTTGATAGAGAGATCACAAGCAGGCAGAGAGGCAGGCAGAGAGAGAGGAGGAAGCAGGCTCCCTGCTGAGCAGAGAGCCCGATGCGGGGCTCGATCCCAGGACTCCGAGATCATGACCTGAGCCGAAGGCAGCGGCTTAACCCACTGAGCCACCCAGGCGCCCCTCTATCTCAGTTTTTAAAAAAAATAAGTTCAAATCAGGCAACAAGAGACCAGCTAAAGGCTCAAAGGTGCTCTATAAACACAGAAATTTTTGCTTTCCTTTTAAAAGTATATCTTACCTTGTTTCACCTCATGTGGGGTGGCGCTTCTAGGAAGGTATTAGTCAAAAGCAGCTTCCTGAATTAGTGAATGATAGACTTCTCACAACAGTGAATGGATAGGCTGAGCCCAGGCAAGGAGGAGGAACTGTCCCCCAGGTGCCAGTGACAGCCAAGAAAGGTCTGCAGAATAGCTTTTGAGATGAAAAGGGGACTTCTCAGGCTTGCAAAAATAGCCTCTTCTGACTAGTAAGGAGAAAACAAGGATTCACTCTGAGTTTAGGAGCTTAACCAAAGACAAAGAAGTAGTTTGAGTTGAGCCAAAACCAGAGCTCATTTTTTGCCTTCCTCTCAGACCTTTTTAATTTAGTAGAGTAACAATATATTAATTTCAGGTATACAACATAATTTAATATTTGTCTATATTGCAAAATAATTACATAGTTACAGATTTTTTCTATAATGAGAACTTTTTAGTGGAGAAGGGCAGAGGGAGAGAGAATATCTTAAGCAGGCTCCACCTCCCCAGTGCGGAGGACAATGCTGGGCTCAATCTCACAACCCTGAGATCATGACCTGAGCCAAAATTAAGAGTTGGGCACTCAACCGAGCTACCCAGGCACTTTTAAGAACTTCTAAGATGTACTCTTAGTAACTTCCAAGTATATGTTACAATATTGTTAACTATAGCCACCATGCTGTATATTTCATCCCCCTGATTTATTTTATAACTGGAAGTTTGTGCCTTTGGTAACCTTCACCCATTTTGCTCTCCCCTATCCCTCCCTAGCAACCACCAGTCTGTTCTCTGTATGTATGGATATGTGTTTTGTTTTGTTTCTAGCTTCTATGTAAAAGTGAAGTCATAGAGTATTTTTGTCTGACTACCTTCACTTAGTATAATGTCCATAAGGTTCATCTGCATCATCACAGATGACAAGATTTCCTTATTTTTATAGCTGAATAGTATTCCACTGTGTGTATACATACCACATTTTCTTTATCCATGCATCCGTCAATGGACATTAAGTTTGCCTATATGGTTTGGCTGGTATAAATAATGCCATAGGGGTGCCTGGGGTGGCTCAGATGGTTAAGAATCTGCCTTTGGCTCAGGTCATAATCTCCAGATCCTGGGATTGAGCCCCATTTTGGGCTCCCAGCTCAGCGGGGTTCTGCTTCTCCCTCTCTCTCTCCCCCTGTTTGTGCTCTCTTTGTGTCTCTCAAATGAATAAATAAAATCTTTAAAAAAAAAAAACGCTTTAGTGAACATGAGTGTGCATATATCTTCTTGAGTTAGTGTTTCTGTTTCCTTTGCATAAGTTATTCAGAAGTAGAATTGCCACATTGAAAACTGCAGCCTGAGAATATTTTGTAGGCTAAACCCACTTGAATTTACTTGCTGTAAATTCCCTGCAGTGCTTTCCAGAACAGGCCCAAACCCACAAAGTATTGAGGCCTTTGAATGCTTTTAGAACACCCAACAGGATTTGGGAATTAGTCTTGTTTTTCATAGTTGTATCTAAATTATTTAATTAATTAGAGGGGAAAATTTTTTGTTTAACTAGTTATTCCTTGTATATATTTATCTTGACTGAATCCAATGTAAATAGGGTCTGTCTATTGCATTGTAAATATGATGAGGTTATTAACTATGTCAAAGTGAGTCCAAAAACAAATATATGTCTATTCTTAAAGTAAATTAACTTCTGAGCTCAGAACTATGTGATGGCACACTCAATAACCACAAAGTTTCACAGGTTTTCCATCTACTTAGGTTCCAGGGAGTGCTGAAGACAAATTTCCCCAGTCAGATCCAACCTCCTTTATTTTGCCAGTGAACTTTAACTATTAAAATGACTGTTTAATATGATGGAGGCCATTTGTAATACCACATCTAAGGGTAGATTAGGTGATGGGGATGTGGAATTTCTGTTAATCCATAATTCATAAATCAGAGAGAGAACCTTACCTTAAGATCCTGCAGGTGGTCTTTCTGCAGCTAGTCTTGTCAGTAAAGAAAGGAGCAAAGATATAAATGCTTAGTGAAATTAGAAGAGTAATCTCAAGAAAAAAGTAAGGTTCTACTCAAGATAGTGAGATGAGAAGGAAAAACTTAGTAGTTCAGAGGAGGGAATCTCCAAAAAATGGCATTTAATCTCAGACTGACACCTAATGAGTATGAAGTGCCATATATATGTAGACATCAAGGTGGAAGAGAAAGATAATAGTGCTCAGTGGAGAGATAACAGCAGTGCTTATTTGTGTGGTTCTGAAAAGTAGTGTCCATGATTAATCCTTGGATATCTGGCATAATCATTATCTGACTTCAAAGACTAGAAGAGAAGAACTTTTTATTGTGGAAGAGTTAATGGCTTGGTTTTGAAATCTATTTCCTTTTATGTGCCTATAATATACAAAGGTGGAGATTACAACATAGAAATGTAATCCAGGTATATTTTTATGATTTAGAGATACCAGTGGAAGAAATGGAAGCAAGGGAGTGTACTGAGATTTCCAGGATAGTTTATTATAAGAGGAGAGAAAGGGGGTACAACTGAACCTTGAGACACTGTTTAGTTGAGGAGGACCTTGCAGAGGACTCAGGAGTGCCTAGACAGTTTGAAAGGCAGTTAGGAACCTGAACTGTCAGAAAAGCCTAGAAGAAAGAAAGTTCCCAAATGGAGATGATGTGCCAGTACTGCTTTGGTTCCAAGTAAAAGGCTGAGAAACTCTCAGTGGATTTAATTATGGGGAAATTACTGATCTTAACAAGATTTATTAACGTGGAAATCATAAGTGATTTTTCTAAGTCAAAGTGAGGGAATGTGAAGAAACTAGGTATGTACTGTTTTTCAGGTTCATTTTGAAGGGAAAAGGTCATGTGTCAACAGCTAGATATAAATTGGCTTAGAGGAGGTTTTTCTTAGAGGAATGGAGAGACTAAATGAGTTTAAGGAGGTGAATGGGGAAATGATGAAGGAGTTACTGGTAAAAAGCAGTTTGGTTTATGATCAGTAACAAACATTTGAGGGAGGAGGAAAGAAACAGATACAATTGGAGAAGTTGGATTTAATTAAGAATAGGGATTACTTTTCAGTGTTTACAAGAGCAGATTTAATTTAGGATTTAATTAGCAATAGAGATTGCTTTCAGTATTTACAAGAGCAGATAACTCTGATGGACTGGAAATAGGGAATAATTGTAGTGTTCTTGCTAGTGACCTGAAATATTTCTTTAAATCATCAGGTCCATCTCTGCAGTAAAAAGTGAAACTATTTTTGAAAACTAAGGGAATAAATAAATAAAATCTTTAAAAAAAAGAAAACTAAGGGAAAATGTGAGAATTTGTGAGATTAGAAAATTAGAAAGGCACAGGGAATATTAACATATTAATTAAGCATAGCAGAGTGATTATTAAGTCATAGTGAGATGCCAGATATTTAGCAAAAGCTTTTGGGAGATTTGTGGTGCTGTAATTAGAACAGCTCAATACTTCATTCTGAGCTGTGACAGATGCAGCCAATGGGAAAATGAGATATTGGCATCATCTAGTTTTGGAGTTTTGATTAGCAGATATTAGAAAGGACTAAGGGGCATCAGAATTGTTGGTCTTGGTGTGTATGTTTTGGAATGAGTTAAGTGTATATTATACTGATCAATAGAAATTAGATGTGGGGGCTGAATTGGGAAATTGAGGTCAGTGAACTATAGGTTCCCATGTAGCTGGAGATCCTGAACATGGGGAGAAATTGTGTGAACAGGCTGAAAGGAGGAAGTTTTGGGGGAGGAGTCTCTGGTCATGGATCTGACTGGAGAGATATGCAGGTAAAAGCGGTTCTGGTGTCTAATGTCCTTCAAGATGAAATTCGTTAGTTATTTGACATTTAGAGACAAGCAGAGCTAATTTCAAATTCTAGCTGTCAATTTTTAGCCATGTAGTTTTGTCCTATAGTTTTCTGAGCCTAGTTAACATCACTCAAATGTGTAAGTAATCCACAAAGGCAGGATTATTGTTCAGTATAAAGTACAGTGTGTATGTCCACATGTATGTAAATCCACTCACAGAGTCTCAATTAATACCAGTAGTTTTTTTTCCTCTTTCCAGGTCCTCAAAATTAGTGGGTTTTAATCATATCTTGTTCTGGACACATTATCAGTGTATGTTACAGTATATTTATTTATAAACACTGTTTGAGATAGTACTATAGAGATAACAAATTCTTTTATATGCTTAAAATATGAAATGCAGATATAATCTTGTTGATTAAAATAACTGGAATTCCATACTCCAAGAAATCAATAAATTACCTTAAAAACTGAACCTATATTTCATGAGCCTGTCCGCTCTGTGGGGATTGTGTAGCAATCCTTAATGTATAGCATTATAACATATGTACTTCTTTCCTGTGCAGGGGATTGTATGTACTAGACTTACATGATGAAAGCCACTGAACATTTGAGCAAGGGTTGGGTCTTCGAAATGTTCAACCCAACTTTAAAGAGATTCCATAGTTGCTTGGCCATGAGGTATACAGTTGGGTTGAGGCAGTAACACTGCCTGAATGCCACATATGGAGGAGCCAGTGTGACTGAGGGCAGGTGTTGCTTGAGGGAAAGCATGGGGTATTCATGAACTGAGATGGGTGTTGGAAAACAATGCTAGCAGACTTCACCCAAGAGTGATACAATATGAAATGCCAAAATGGTGTCCTGAGTTATTGTTATAAGAATATCCATGTGACGGGAGTCAGGTTCTCCTAAGATTTTGGTGCCAGGGATGTAAAAAAGTAGGAACTCTGAATACCAGGTCTAATTAAATGACATCTCTGTGCTTTTGCTATCTCTTTAATAGGGACATTAATATCTTCTTTATGAGCATAATAGCCAACGACTTCTTATTGTTGATTCTGGGAGAGGGGAGCCCCCCTACCTGTTTGTCCTTGTTTACTCTGCCAGTACATGTGAGTTGGACTACGACAGGAAGTCATTACCATATGAAGATTTGCAGATTCAAGATAGGCATATCTAGGAATATTGGAAAAGATGAGTCTCATGGGTTCTTTCTCTTTCCTCAGCCTTGTCTGCTTAGTTATTGGACTGTCCCTTGGTGAGAATACACAGGAAGAAAGGGGCAACTGAGATCTAGACAATGCAAGCACAGGTGAGTAGGACTTGCTTTTCCTCATGGATACCTGTTTTTCTAGAGCAGGAACAGATTTATCTTCATGGCCTGGATCTTCTTTGTGTCCCCATGAAATATGAGTGTTAGTCACACTTCACCAGTACTCAGGGAGGCTTATGGGAGTTCAGGGTTTGATCGAGAAATAATCTGATATCCGGTATTACTCTGTTCCATCCCCCATCCGCTTAAGGGTATCCTTGCAGAATAGTTATTTCTTCTAATCCATTCCATGGCCCCAGCTAAGTGACTCACACATTAACCAGGTTATTGTCTGCAGTGGGCTTAGGCCTGTGGTGAGCACAGGTAATAGAAATGGGAACAAGCAGAAGCTTACAGTCCTGTAGTGAGGTAGAGTTTCCTTCAAGTGAGTCCAGTCCATCCAGTGTTTCAGATGCTGCAGAGCAGCATTGAGACTGGGGGTAGGGAGCAAGAGACCAGTAAGGAATAATTTCTTTATTTTTTCCAGTTTTAAACTTACTAAAGTTTTTATACAATATGCTTGAGCATTTTAATTTTAACTTAAAGAAAAATTCTCCTTACCACTCCTATTCCCAACAACCCAATTTCCCTCTTTGTAATTAAACTTTGTTCAAATTTGAAAACTAAGAAATGTCTGGTAACTATTATTTTCCTAACATGAGCTGTGCATTGAGAGGATTATAATGGAATAAAACCTAGGGTTCTATAGCATATTTTGCAGGACTGAAAAGATCAGGTTCATTTGAGAGGCTGATGTTATAGGAGGGATAGTGATAAGCAATGCTCAGAGGTGCCCAAGAAAATTGAAATGGAGGGGCAGGCTAGGACATTCCTTATGTACTTAGGGCCCCTGGGGTTTTGCTTCTGGACTGTATGTCTTAAGTCTTATCATGAACGTGTGTGTTGTGTAGACATGGGCAAAGCCACACTTGCTTATCCAAGCTGTGTAGGAGCCCCACTCAGTCCTGCAGGAAGTTGGGCAGTGCAGTGTCCTGGGTATTTCTATCACAGCTCATGAGATAATCATTTATAATGAAGTTATATTTACAAAGTGTGTTTACTTCTGTGAGTCTGTGTGAAAGACACATGGCAAAGCAGCATAGAGAAACATTTGACTGGGACCCCAGACAGGATTTAAGCTTTCTGTGTATACAGCAACCCATCCTCAGCACCATCATGTCTAGTATACTCCCATGACTCTTGGTAGGGAGGAGCCTGGCTGCATCAAAATGTCTGTGATGTTTTAGGAATTAGTGACCTTCAAGGATATAGCTATAGATTTCACCCAAGAAGAGTGGGCCTTGCTGGACACATCCCAGAGAAAGCTGTACAGAGATGTGATGCTGGAGAACATCAGTCATCTGGTCTCTGTTGGTGAGTCTGTCAAAATTAATTTATTTATTCAGCAAGAATCCAGCTTTCGTGTATTCCCCCTCTTCTCTCATCCCTCATTCAAGTTCTTTCATGGTTCTTAAAACTACTTGAATTCAATTTATATATTTACTTACTTACTTACACATATTTTGTCACCCCAAAATAATATAGAGTTTTCCTGACCCTTCTCTCATGACTTTCTTGCTTCTGTACCTCCCGTGCCCAGGACTGTGCTGGGAATTCAATGAATATTTTATATGAATGAAAGCACTAAATATTACTAAATAACTACTCTGCTGTCTATACTCAACCAGTAATTAAATATCCATTTGTGAAAATTTTACCTATTACCTATTTCCAAAGAAAAATTAAGTGTTCTGGTGCAGTTTCTGTGTACTTAATATTTTAAAAAATTAATATCACCCTACTGTGGGAACATAGAATTTCTCCTCTGTTGAAAACATTAAAGATTGTTCACTCTATCTTTAACCTTGGTCCTGCACATCAACAACAAGAAAATCTACCTGTGTTGACATAGTGTCAGGATGTTCTTTCTGCTCTGGGGAAGGACTTTGGTATTTTCGGTGTTCAAGGTACTCTTCCCTGGGCTCTCCTCCACTATTCATCTTGTTCTTGCTTGGTATTATGCCTTAGAATTAAAGATTATTCATGTTTCTCTGCACAGAATCCAAAATCGATATACCTTTTACTCCCACAAACAGGATATCATCTCTGCAAATCAGATGTGATTTCCCAGTTGGAACAAGGAGTGGAGCTGTGGAGGGAGGGAAGAGGATTTCTCCAGGGCCTGAATCCAGGTGAGCTCCAGGTTTTTTGTGCACAGCACCAGGAAGATCCTGTTATGGGGAGAGCAGGACCAGGGGAATGTCCACAGCAGACATCTTATTTCAATCCTGAAAACACTTCATAATTTTCACTTTCCTTAAATACACTTCAACTCACTTAAATATTCCTTCTTCTCACATTTTCCCCTCTGTAAAGATCAGTATTTGAAACGTACACAGGCTTTGTATGTTTTCAACAGTTTTCATCCTCTCATGCACACTAGCAGTTCATTTTGTTTACATTATTTTAGACAGGAAATGTGGCCTTAAGAGACAAGAAGATATCTGCAAAAAGGACCCGTCTAACTGCATGTCAACGGTAAGTTTCAGGGGGGTGAACCCTTCCTCAACAGTAAAAACATGTGAGCCAACACATTTTAGAACACAGCACAAGACTGTGATTTCACTTGGGCATAAATGCTGTCTCAGCAGAAAGCTTTGGGTGGTTGAATTTAGGGAGAAAATCAAGATGTTGCTCAAAACCATCACCTGCTTTCTTATAAAAGGACAGCCACATAAACATGGCTCATGCATCTAGTCTTTGAAACTATTGAAATCTTCCAAGTAAATCAGGTAGTTCTGCAGTTGAGATGTTATGAAAAAGGAAATCTCTTTGTGTTGTAGAAAATCACATGCATGGCATATGTAAATAACAGGGAAGATGTTAACAGGAGATGTCCACTGCATGATCAAAGTACGAGTCATGTAGAGAAATGAATTAATGTATATGCGATATTCTTTAACAGCCTCTTCATCTCCTTCAAACAGCTGAGATCTCACATGGGAAAAAATGCCTATGAATATAATGAATTTGGGGAGGTTTTCACTTACAGATCCACAGTGATTCAACATGTGCTAACTCACATGGGGGGAACCCTATAAAAGTAAGGAAGGTGGGAAGGAGTTCTGCCAGAGCACTAAGCTTTCTATACACAAAAGGACACACACTGGAGAAAAACCCTACAAATGTGAATGTGGGAAATGCTTCATCCAGAGAGCTATTTTTTACTCACACCAAAGATTGCACACAGGAGAGAAACCTTATAAATGTAATGAATGTGGGAAACACTTCAGACAAAGCACTAGCTTAAATTCACACCAAAGAACTCACACAGCAGAGAAACCCTATAAATGTAATGAATGTGAGAAGGGATTCCATCAGAGCACTCAGCTTGTATATGCACCAAAGAACACACACCAGAGAGAAGCCCTGTAAATGCAATGAATGTGGGAAATACTTCAGCCAAAATGCTAGCTTCCATTCACACAAAAGAAGTCACAAGGCAGAGAAATCCTACATCTGTGATAAACATGGAAAAGGTTTCTATCATCCTCCTGTAGTCAACGTAAAAGAAGTCACACTGAAGGAAAATCCATAGGAAATTTTTAGTCAAAACTCCAGCTTTAAAAAGTGTGAGAAATTTTACACCAGAGAGGAGCCCTGTATATGAAATGAATGGGTCCATAATGCTAGGTAAATATCCTACCCTTTTTAAAATAATCACATAGAATGGAAAAGCCTTCATCAGTCTCTAACCTTAGTTCACATGAAAGAACTCGTATTATAAATGTAAGGAAGAAAGGGACCAAAGGGACCCCTATGGTCTTCATGATCTGCTCTAATAGACACCGAAGGGCTCACATAGGAAGAAATTGTATGTGTGCAGTCCCATGCTTTCAGAGTGCCATCATTTATAATTTACCCTTTAAGGACCATGAGCAGACTCTACAGCAAAGATTACAAACTCTGTTGAGACTCCTGAAATTCACACTTCACAGTCTTCAGGACTTTGCCAAATGAACTATTATAAATAATGTAAGATGAAAATAAAGATTTGTAGATTTGTGCTGTGATCCAAGAATATTTAGTGAAGAATTCGTAACAATTGCTAAAACATTAAATTATTTCAATAGATTAGTACTTGAAATCAGTGCAGGTTGTTCCTCAAAAGTCTAATAATGTTGTTCAGTTTATATTTTATGCACCTTTAACCATAATTGCAGAGACTTGAATCAATCACAGAATAACCTAAATAAAGTGGCAGGCCATAATTTAAAATAATGTGATTTAAATATTATATCAGTATTAAAACATATAAATCTGTGCTATAAATTAATACAAACATGGAAGAATAAACATTTGGTTTGTAAATAAAGTAAATAATGTTAAAATAATTCTCCTCTTTTTAAAATGTCCAGCCTGTCCACATTTTCTTATTTGCACAGCCACAGTCATTCCTGTCTAAACAGGTGAGAGGAAAAGAGGTGGGGGATGGAAAGCCAGGAGACCAGGGCCCCACTGGAGTATGAAAAAAACAGGGCAGAGGGTGAAGTGAGTGCAAGTGGGGGAGGAGGCAAGTACATGGCTGTCATCTGAGGCACCAGGTAGTTGGAGCAGGGATAGATTGAAGGGAGCATTTGGTGACCTTAGGGACTGACAAAAGCAGAAAGGAGGGAAAGGAATAGGAGACAAGTTACTTAATGAGGATGCAGAAGGAGGTATGTGGAGGTGGACTCAAGATCATAGAGAGGCCACACTACTGGAAGCAACTTGAGCAGAGAAAGAACAGGGCTTTGGGACAGGTACTGGTGATCCAGGATATGCACAGGCCTCAAGAAGAGGGTCCAGGTAGGGAGGGTTAATGTAAGTTAAAGGACAGGATAGGGGAATATGGGGTACACTGAGGGGACATAGGAGTCCAGATTGAGGCAAGGGGTTGGGACAATGGTAGAGGGTATGGGTGGAATAAGTCTTTTTCTTCTTTCCAGCACTTTTTTAAACCTCCAAGAAGTTATTCCATATAAATTGGAACCTCAGAATGGGTAATTTTGCTAGGCAATATTCTAAGTTGCCCCCAAGATTGTGTCCCTTGGGGTTACACCTGTATAATTTCCTCTCTTCGCTTCTGTTTTGGACCTTTGGATGTGATGGAATATCATTCTCTTCATTATATGGCAATAGGGAATGGGGTTTGCAGATGTCATTAAGGTCTCTAATTGGTTAATTATAAGATAATCACAGAGGAGTTTTTCCAGAATAAGCATAACCTAGTCAGGTGAGGCATTTTGAAGAGGATCTGCAGATCAGAAACAGAGAATGTGAGAGATATGTGAAGCCAGAGTCCGTCTGCTGCTGGCCTTGAAAAAGCAAAGGGAGGATAAGCAATAAATGTAATCTCCAGAGGGTGGAGCACAGTATTGAGAATGTGATAGGAGGAGGACGCTTTCTGAGACTACCCTTTGTATGGTTTTGGTTTGGGAACACTTGGTGCACTCCACAATAAAATTAAAGCCAACAAGGGTGAGTGAGAAAAAAATTGAAAAACAAATGAGCCTAACTTTATATCAAATAACTACCATAACTGTAAAATAAATTCTAGTAATTCTCAACACTGTTTTTACTTATACACTTAAGTGAAATATAAAAATACTTGCAAATTATCTTTATGCCTACTTGATTTTTTTTTTTTTTGCGTTGGTGTGAATGTAGCACTTTTTGAAGTTTTTTTGTGTATTGTATGACTGAGTATGTGATTAAATATATTTAGGTTGTTCAGCCAAAATTTTACCTGGTAATGGAAAATGGAGACACAAATACTGGAAGAAGGAGAAGATAAGTCTTGTTGAATTGGAAATAGACTTAATTAATATGAATTAATGATGTGTGTTCTTGTGCTTCCTGGTCCTGTCCTCTGAAAGGGCCTAGAAGCAAGGACACCTCACTGCAATGACAAATATCACTCAAATGGATTCTAAATTTCATTCTCAATGATAGGAACTAGGCTTCCTTGGAGGAAAGGTTGATTGAGGCAGGAAAATTAAGATTGGTATTGGGTAGGGAAAGTATCTAAAGTATCTTTTGCTAGAAAGTAAGGAAGTATTCACAAAAGGAGAGGTAGACAGGTGAAAAGAGGTAGACAGGTGAAAAGAAAATGGGGCAGATCAAAATGGACCCTTAATGGCCCATTTGGGACAACCATATCATCAAAATAAAGAATAAAAATAATGGCGGGGCAAGATGGCAGAGGAGTAGGGGACCCTATTTCAACCTGTTCCCTGAATTAAGCTGGATATCTACCAGGCCACTCTGAACACCCATGAAATCAGCCTATGATATAAGAAGATATATCCAGATCTATACCAACAGAATATCTCTGGCAGTTGGTTTCAAGGTATGAAACAGGGAGCCATGATTCTGCAGACAGATATTGGAAGATAAACAGAAGGGGGGGGGTAGCTTCCAGGATCCTGAACCACCAGAGTGCAAAAGCCTCCCTCGCTGAGACTGGGCACAGACTTGCAGACTGGTAGTGGCAGGAAAAGGACTTCAGAGCAGCCCACAAGACTGAAACCTGGAGCTGCGGGGGCACCTGTACAAAATGGGGGCAGATGGAGGTTTTAGTAGCACAGAGGGTAAAGAAATGCCTGGACCTGGAAGTGAGGCTGAGAATGCTGCTGTGAGTCACACAGCCAAGGACACTGGTTTTTAGCAGCACAGACAAAAACAGGCAGTGTGTCCTGGAGGACTCACTGGAGAACAGACTGTGATCTCTGTTCTGAGACAAAAGTTTGGTTAATGTCACTTCTGCTCTGACTCTTGGAAGACACGCAGAAAGCCACCAGGGAAAGCCCCCAGAGAACAAAAGCCCCCCAAAACTGGCTTTCACTAAGCCCAACCCCTCCACAGGGGGCAGAGTAACTCTCCCCAAACAGGGTTGCCTGAGTAACAGGATGGCAGACCCCTCCCCCAGAAGACAGGCAGAAAGATCAAGAGGCCAGCAACCCTTAGTTCCCTATAAAATAGGTGCATCTTGCTTTGGCTGTAGTCAATAATCTGGGCTCTGTACATTCCCTCAACCACCCCTCAACAGAATGAGTAAGAGGAGGAACACCCAACACTGGAAAAATTTAGACACTGTGACCTCTGCCACAGAACTAATGGGTATGGATATAAGCAAAAGGTTGGAAATAGACTTCAGGGTAACAGTTATGCAGACAATAGCTAGGTTGGAGAAAACCATTAATGGCAACATAGATTGTCTAAGGGCAGGGGTGAGAGCTAATCTGGCAGAATTTAAAAATGCTATCAATGAGATTAATCTAATCTAGACACTCTTAACAGCTAGGGTAAATAAGGCACAAGAATGAATTAGTGATCTAGAAGACAAACTGATAGAAAAGAAGGAACAAGCAGGACCTGGAAAAAACAACTTAGAATCCGTGAAAACAGAGAAATAAATGATGCCATGAAACTTTCCAATGTCAGAATTATTGGCATCCCTAAGAGGGTGGAGAGAGAGAGAGAGGAGTAGAAGAAAT